GGAAAAAGTAAAGCTGTTGGAAGAAATCAGTAACACTAAATTAAAGGACAAAGATTGTAATGTGTATGAGATCAACCTCTATCAATTCATTTTTTAGAACAGTAGCGGTTGTAGAGTAGTTCCACAGCATGTCTATCAAAGAAGACAACTGATATATATCCAGAGGCATCAGAGATGGTGTAGTGGATTCGAAATCTGTTAAATGAAAAAGAGTTGTTAGGAAAGTTCGGTTTACAGCAATAGTATATAAAGGTTGAAATGTTGCTCTTCTACTTTGGGCTAATATTGGTTATGCTCCGATTACAGATATTGCAAAATTGTTTATTGTTTTGCTCCATTGGTTTACTGGTGCAGATGTCACAACCATCATAAGTCCAACCATTTCCTGTTTGTAGTTTCTTGATGGTTCCCTTAATCAGAAATTCCTTTTCCTAGATATTATGAATTAGTAAGAAGTTGATAAAGATGGAAGTACAAGATAGTAGGAAAGTTAGTAGCAAAAGAAATATAACCTCGTCAATATGAGCAATATGTGATATTGGGAATCTGTCAGGAAATTGTAGAAGTGAAAGGGAAGAATTTTGACTTGTTTCACACTGAATTGTTTGTGTAAAGCTAAGAGATGATGTGTTTGTTGACTGTTGAAGCCTATACAATATGGAAACATTTCAATTCAATTAATTATTATTCTTGTTGTTGCTGTTATTAGAATGGAGAGCATTATTATATTGTAGTTAGAAATAATAACAGCAGAATGAAAGGCATTACACCTTTCAAGTAGGTCCTTTGCCTCTGGAATGTCAGGGTTAAAGGTGATCCTAGTAGCAGTGTAGGAGTTTGACAGTTGCAAAATTCCTAGTTAAAATTTATATTAATCAATAAAGGAATCATATAGAAATAGCACAGCAAAGATAAGAAATAGCAGAAGCACTTGGAAGACATTTCATAGATGGACTAAAAAGTATAGATCATAAAAGTAAAGAACTGATGAGAAGCTAAATAAATAAGAGAGTAAGGAAAGTTAAGGCGTGCAAAACCATTTTTCACACTGATCCTAGCAAATTGCATCAATACAATAATTGGTGGGTCCATGTCATCCTGCTTGGCCCAATATGTTTGTGTTGCAGTCTCTCCCCATAATAAGCAGTTAACAGTGACATCCCTGGATACAAATATTAATGAAAGAAAGAAACTAAGGCACATGCATAATAGGGTTAAAAGCAAAATATAGGTATAGAGAAATATGTGATAGTCTACTCTTCATCTGCTAAAGTATAGCTTAAACGATTTTGTGCTGCATTATCTGTCCTTGAGTCTATCAGATCACCAAATGATTTCAAAAAGCCAATGACATCTGTAGGGAGGAAAATAGCAGTTTAGTTGTTTCAATGAAATGAAAACGATAATATTGAAAGGTAAAAAGAAGCAAACCAATAAGAACTTCAGTGTTAAGTTCTTTTTTTTTCATGTCCTCGTGAAGTTTTGTAAAACAGACAAAGTTGAATGAATTGCGTGGAAGCTCAGCATCATGAGGTCTAATGTAAGTGTTAGGATGGAACTGCAGCCTCCATGGATGAGATGTGGGTCTATAAGGCCATGTGTTAGGTGAAATTGTGAAATTTTCAATGTAAATGATGTCTCCTTCAGATGGCTCTCGCTTATACTGCTCATGAAGTTGTTTGTTTGTGACTTCAGCATGTATCTTATTGCCCTGTTCATGATAGATACTTGAATGAGGAATGGAGAAGATATTAAATTCAGAAAGATAGGACAATAAAGCATGAAAGATAAAACATTTAATCTTACCTCTTCATCTATAAAAACGAACATAATACATGCTAAATGATGAGGGGGACTCTTATAGAGCTGGCACCACTTCCTAATCACTCTAACAATAAGGGAGGAAGCTTCTTTAGTGTCATCAATAGTCTTGACCAGTTCATAGTCCTCAGTAGCCATGGTAATTATACTGAAACTGCATAAAAGAAGGCATCAGAGAATTGAATTAGCGAATAAATAATTTCATAAAATGGTGCATGAATATTTCTTCATGAGAGGAAGAAAGAAATGACTTTGGAAAGTAAGTGTATAAAATAAAACTTAGGAATCACAGAAGGATATAGCAGAACAAAAAGCAATTACAAGTAAAGATAGAAATTGATTCTTGAGAGGTAGAGAAATAAGGAATCAGGAGCTGATATATATAGGCAGAACTGAAGAACAAATGAGAAGGTCAGGAGGCAGTAGTGGATTGTAGTAGGTGAAAAATGTGCGGTAAAACTGAAAGTTTTGATAGCATGTTTGAAAAGTTGGCGCTGCTACATGATTTAGTTGATTGGAAAGGAGTAACAACATAAATTGGGTAGGCGGGAAGGATGAAAAATGTGAAAGCACAGATAATTTTGAATTCATTAATGAAAGCTATTGTACATGTGGACATGAAAGAGGATGAACATGCTGCACATTTGGAGAAGACAAAAATACTGGGATTCAAGACTTCAGAAGAGTAATTTGTTTTTAAAAGAATATAAAATTTAGTAGCTTGGTGTAGTAATTAGAAATAAAAGTTGATTTGGTGTAATTCCAAGAACTAATGCAATGATTCAGACATTTGAGAATGTGCCCTCTGCTACTGAAGAAATAAGTTACTGATTGAAAAAGGCATTACAGTGGATTGTGTACTGAGAAGAAGTGAAGTTTAGCCGTCTTGCTTAGCAGGACCTCTGAAAGAAGCTTACAAGGTAAACATAATAGAGACTTATAGGCGGCTAAATTATGAAGCAATGTCAGTAGGAATGATGAGACTGGTTGTGCAGAGGTGGAGGTGAAGTGATAGTTGATAAGGCTGAGAAGAGAGGATTGATTATGGAGTGGAATATATTTGTGACTAAGGATGGGATGATAAATTCAAAATGGACTGTTTAGTTGGTTTGAAACAGAAACAAATAAAATTGCAAACACAAAAGAACTTTAGTTAGTTGGAAAGTGAGAAGTATAGTTGAAGTATAATGGCACAATCTAATTTATTTAAAAAAGATTTGTTTAAAAAAAGAAATGATGGGCAAATAAAGTAAAATAAGACACTAAAAAAAGCACAGGTATTGAGAATAAATATCATTTACTTATAGTTTGTGTAGAAAACAGTATGCTGAGAAGTTACGTGTGCTGTCATATCTAGGTGTATACATAATTCAGTTCAAATATGGTGTTATTAAATTTAGTTGTCATGATGTTCAATAACTTGACATCCAAAGGAGCATCATGATGAAATAACTATAAATTGATTGTTAAGTTGAGGAAGAATTAAAAATACAAATGGTTAAGATGGAAATCTGACGAAAATGAAGAGGACTGATATCCATTTTTAGGAGTGAAATTGCAGAAATAATGTATAATGTGCAAGTGACATTTTAGATGCAGTAAACATTAATGTTTTTAAATAGGAAGCATTTAATTACATTCCTTTCAAAGTTGCAACAAAAGGATACTGGAAGGAATTAGAAGAGAAAATAAATATTTGTAATGGAAATTAATATTATTAATGCAAGTTGAAGGAGGCCTTAAAGTTTTGGGTGCAACTGAAGTACAAAATAAGAAAAGGACGAAAGAAAGAAGATCTTTGTAGAGGGTCTTTGCTGTATACATTCATATTGGCTGAAATAATGACAAGTGTTTATGTCAAAGCTGTCATGTTAAAGATTTTTTGTAAGGTATACACTTAATATTCAATTAAATGATGAAATATAAATTCTAGGACCTTAACATTATATTCCACAAGGAAGTGGTGACTAAGAATAAAATGCCAGAAAGAAATCAAACATCCAAAGAGTATACAATACAATGAAGACCATAGAGGAATAAGCTGTCATTAATTATATTAACATCATTTGGTAGAAATCCACAAATAGGTACAACAGACAAGGTAAAGTAGATTTTGACAAAGAGCTCTATAGTCTATACTATTGAGCTACATATCAAAAAGTCCAAAAGTGATCTGTGGATGAAGCCAATGCCCAAAAAGAAAACAAAAGACATTCATTCAGTGTCTGTTGTACATAGTTCTTCATGCAGATGCTAGAGTATTAGTTGTCATGGCCATCTTGTACTCAGAAAATTCTTCCATGTGAGGGTCAAAGATAACTCTCGTAGCAGTTGAAAAGCTTGTCAATACAATTTCAGCTGACACATATGACAAGCAGATAAGCAACACAGGAAGTGAAGGCTAGGCAAAATGTCAAATTGATGATACACTCACTTCCATGAACAGTTTCAAGAGCAAAGAGGATAATAACTATTAGTGGATCCTTGTTGAGGTGATACTTGAACTCGTGAGCTGCAACCATGGCACTCTCTCCATACAAGTAGCACTTAATTTGCTCAAGCCTAGATATAGCATCTTAAAGTTAGACAAGAAACAATGCTTAAGCAATAAATGATATAAAAGTAAAAGAAGTCAGGTTACTGTGGATTTTGCACGGTTAGGATAAGCTGGTAAGTTAAGTCTGCAGCCTTCCAAACCAATTCTAAAGGATGAATTTGAATCAGCTTTCCATACACATCTATTGTAAAATATAAAGATCAATAATAAGATTAAGGTGTACGCGTGCAGGAAATGATGAAAAGATAATGTAAGGGGCTGATAAATTGCATAAATGAAAGGTTGAGGAAAAAAACTGATACTGCGAATAGAAGCAAAATGCATTGATAATAAAGGACAACCGAAGCATTGTCTCTCAAGTGTAAAGCTTCGCTTCAAGTATCCAATGTTAACAAACTTGAAGCAGTAATTTGGAAGTGCAGTACGACATTCCTCAATAGTGGTCCTGGAATGAAAACGAATTTGGTACTGATGGTGCACCTCATCTCCCCAATATGCAACATCAAAGTTAGTAATGAGATAACAGTTGCCCTCAGTTATCAAGTTGAGGAAACGTTCCACAAGGCGTTCTTGACTGATGACAGCGCGCATGCGATTCCCCTGAGATATGAAACAACATAAAAAAGGTTCCTGCAAGTGATGATACTGGAAAGAAAGCTCAAATGAATAGTGAACATAATGAAAAATGAAGAGACTTTAACATAAACCTTGTGGTCAATAAGGACAAAATCTAGGGAGCGAAGTCTCCTGAAGAAACCATGCCAGAAATGACCTGCGTATGGGTAGCTATGGACAAAGACACGAGCCACACGCACGCAAATTCTCCAGCCATCAATACCGGGACGTATGGCATCAAGAAATGAGTAACCAGGATTAGCCATTTAGCATTTAAAATGAAATGATGATATAACGATGAATGGATGTGATGAGCAGATATATTAGACGATATGAGAAATATATATAGAGAGGTGAGAGAAAGATAAAATGAATCCGACAAAAATTCGAGTGAAATTAATTGTCTGGGTCAGCTGAAGAGAAGGTTATAATGGGAAATGAAAATAAAACCGAGGCATATGAGACGGGAGAATGACAGTGAAGTGTAGAGAACAAAAATCATTATGCTGATCAATTAATCAGATGTTGACCTTGCTTTGGTTAACGTACAAGAGTTAGACGGCAATGACAAATGCTTTTCCAATGTTATTAATGTGATTAGAAAGAATGTCTACTAATGACAGTGGTGATCAGAAAATAGGCAAGAAGAAGCAGCGCGTAGCAATGAGTATCCCAAACAGTGGTGATATGGGAAAATTAATTTTACTGACAGATAGACAACTTCATTAAATGAAATAACTATTCATCTGAACAAAAATGAAGACAATTAAATTGAATCATTGAAATCGAGACTCCATAAATGTAAAATGAAAAATTAAAAACTCCATAAGTATTCAGCTAAACAAAAAGCAAGAAAAAAAAATTTAAAATAAAACACCTTGGTGGCCTTTGACGAAAATGACAGGCATTAAACAGTCCTAAAAAGAATGGAATACAAAATTGCCAAATAATAAAATTGTTTGATTCGCTTTATCTTGTATATCAATCCAAACAAAAGAATTGATAGTTTAGAAATAGTTAGAAAAACATTAAAAAAAAAGACATCTTGGTGGCCCTTGTCAATAATTATAACCGTCAGTGGGTATAACAAAAAATAAAAGATTTTAGTGACCCTTACCAATTAAAAATGTGATAATTATTTAATGTAAAAATTCTCTCAAAATGTGAAGAAAAAGTTTATCAGTAAGATGAACAAAAGGTCTACGTCAAAATTTGAAAAGACTATCTTGTTTAATTAAATATTTTGATAAAATATTTATTTTAAAAGCATATAAAAGTATACTAAATGCATTTGCCTAATATAATCATATAAAGACTTCTAGAAGTAAATGAGTATGACGCAAAATATTATACGTAAGGCATTTCATTAACTTCATATTGTATATTAAGGCACACAATTAAAGTGGTCATTAAAATTTAGATGAAAAATGAAATTAATGACACAGGAAAAATATGAAACTTGAAGACTGAAAATTAAGGTGAAAAAGGAGCAATTGAAGCGTTGCTTTGCAATGTTTGGGATAATTATATGCTGGACATGGGAGTAAATAAAAGACTAAAAAGCACAATATAGTAGAAGAAAGAGAAAAGTGAAACACTGCCACAACTTCTTCATATCAACACTAAATATTCCCACCATAAGAGAATCGGAATCGTCCACATAATATAAAAGAAACAGCATGGATAATTACAAAAGTGGAGCCAGAAAATAGAAGATGAGAAAATATTAGTTGACTATTGAAGTAGGACAACATAAGTCCTAAAGAAGATAACCAGTTCTTTTAATTCACATATCATGGGCCTAAAAACAAAAATAAACATAAAAAGAGGCCGATCATCATGGAGTTCATTTAGGAGAGTAAGCTTGGACAAGGGCAGCAATCTTCTGACCAGCTTCAACAGATTCAGGACTCCAAAAGACACGAGTAGCTGGAGAAAAGTTCCTTATGGCTTTAATCCCTGCATATTAAAGAGATTTCAAACATGCACTCAAGTTTTGTGACTTTGTCCATTAATGAAAAGGTTAATGGCACTACTGAAAATTGATCTTTAATAATAAAATTTGTCATCACGTTTGAGGGGAAAAAAAATGAAGCACTTGGTACTAATTAAGGAGGCATGTTTTCTTTATAATGAAAAAAAAATCATGAGGTATTAATTATATTTTTTTCAATATTATCCTTATTTAAAATTATTAAGAGTGAATGTAATATAAATTTAAAATTTTTTCATTTAAATATAGGTGAAAGTGAGAGTTTATTTTTTCACACAAAATTAATAACTTAACTACCTCTCCTTAATTTTGGTGAGATAAAGGTGGGAACCTGAAAATTAAAAGAGGCTTGAAAAATTATTTGGTCCTTGTTCTTATAAGATATTCTATGCGGTAAGGAAGTTGACTAAAAGATTAGGTTTGTTCTTCAAAAATATTCCTTGGGAGTTCTAATTAATGGAATCATTTCGCAGGAAAACACAACACTTCATTTTTGAGGTCCTATGGAGGTTAGATTTCATGATCAGATGGATTTAGATGAGATGTCCTACGGCATCATCAAATCGCCTCCATTGCCCAGAAAGCTTTCAAATTTCATGAGGGAGCAGAAGAAAAAACTGTTGAGGCTAGACAGAATAAGAGATGTTGTCAGCCTCTGGTTGAGTTATCCTACGAGAACAGTGCATGATAGCAAACTTAAGACTTGGATTCATCGACTTTCAAATGCTCATGATTCAGTAGCAGAAAAATACAGTCTAATCCAGGAGGACCCGCTTCATTATTTGGAAGGACTTGTGCCGATAGAAATGATGATGGAGATTGAGACAGAAGCAGGAGGTAGTTCCATGTTTGATCATAATAAGATACCAGATGCCATTCTCAATTTAGCTGCTGATCTTGCTATAAATCAATTGGTTCAAATCCTACTTTCTGGGGAAGATCATGCTCTCAACATTCACCGTGTCATGTTTTGTACCAGAAATAATCCTGAACGAAGAGAAGTTTTCAGAAAAATGAAAGTAGCTCTAAAGGATATGGAGAAAATGCCTCGTTTTAATGAAGTCATCCATGGAATCTTGTGGATTGATGTGTCATTATATAAAAGCCAAGGACAAAAGTAGAGGTCCTTGTTGGACCACATATATGTCAACAGCTTCAGCTTCTAAAGTCCAGGGAGACTATTCTCCCAAGTATGATCTACGAAAAATATGTAGTGATTTTGTTGGATGGGGATGGTCAGAAGACTATAGATCTGCGAAAAGTGAGTTTGCCTGCAGACACATGTATGCCAGTCATGGTGTTGGTCACAACTGAATTTCAAAAGCAGGCAAATGATGAAAAACAAGTGCAATGGATCTGACAATCAGAACAAAGGATCATTTGTTGCCATGAAAGTCTTTTGTCAAAATGTAGGCAAAAAGCTGGTTTTTTCATCCAGTGTCATCCAGAAAATTGCAATGCGTATAGTTCAAGAATGTGGTGGGATTTTTTGGCCACTGTCCTTGTGGCAAAGTCGTTGAAGAACGAGGAAGATGTCAAGCTTTGGAAACTTGCACTCCACAAGTTGCGTTTCCTTAACCCTGGTATATGCATTCAGGGGGTAAGCAAAGTTATGGTAACTACATTCATAAACTTCATCTGGAATGATATGAATCAAATGCTAAAGCATTGCCTAATGAGTTGCTTATTCATCCCAGATATCAAAACTGGGAAGTTCTCTGATGAATTAATGCATTGTTGGATTTCTCATCAGTTAACAGATGATCAAGAAGCTGTGCATAAGTTGAGAGAGCTTGTAGAACGCTTTATCTTACTAAACAATCAATTAAATGATAAGTATGTCAAGTTGCCAGAAGACATACATGCTATTTTGCATTCACTGAATACCATGACCCCTTGGTTCATGAAAAAATCTGGGTTGGGATTGACTGAGCCGCCAAATGATGAGCTCTGGCATAGTGTTGTACATATGGAACTTGCAAACAATAAACTGTCTGAGCTGCCTTTGTCACCAAACTGCCCTGAACTCAAAGTTTTATTGCTTCAGGGAAATGCTGATCTAACAAGAATTCCAAATATGTTTTTCTTTAAGATGCCCTTACTTTGTATCTTGGACTTATCTTACACTAGCGTACGAGAACTACCAGATTCTCTGTTTGAGTTGGAGCAGCTCATTGCACTATATATGAAAGGTTGTAAATGCTTCATGAAATTATCGCCAAAGATTGGGAAATTGAAGAAACTTGAAAAGCTTGATCTTGATGGAACTCAAATCACCCATATGCCAAAAGAGATGCAAGAGTTGACGAATCTTCAAAGCTTGTTCATTTGCTTCTATGAATATCGTGGCAAGAAAAACAAGCGATATACACAGTCAACAATTATTCCATCCGAGGTAATCTCAAAACTTAAGGGGCTGAACCATTTAAGTATTGATGTAAACCCTGATGATGAGCAGTGGTATGAGAATGTACGAGACATTCTTCCAGAAATATTGGGATTAGGGCATTTGCTGACTCTTAGCTTATATATCCCACATCTAGAACTTTTGAAGTTCATACCTGACAGTGTCTTTGAGGTTGATTTTAGATTTATTGTTGGTAGGCATATGCAAAGGATCATATCAAGCACACCATCCACATGTGAGGCAAAATTTAAAGAGAGTGGTTGTAGCTTGAAGTTTGTGAATGGTGATGGCGTTCCTTATGAAATTAAAAGGCTAGTTGGGCACAGCAAGGCCTTATTTCTGGACAGACATAAGACAATCCAGAATCTATCGGAATTTAAAATGATGAATTTAGAACAGTTGCGTGTATTTATTTTGGCAGAATGCAGAGAAATGCAAACAGTTGTTGATGCAAGACAATCAAATAGTGGTGATGATACTTTCTCACACTTGCTATATTTACACGTGTCGCACATGAGGAGTTTAAGAAGCATATGGGAAGGGCCGACGCCACCTCGCAGCTTTTTTGGTATGCTGAAGTCTTTAGTATTGCAAAATTGCCCTGAGTTAAAAATTGTCTTCACCATGGACTTTTTGGGAAATCTTTCACTTTTGAAGGAGGTTATCGTCAAGGATTGTCCCAAAGTAACCTCCTTGATAAGTGATGGATCATTTAGATGTAAAGGACAGATTTTCCTCCCTAAACTGAGCAAGATAATGCTTCTCCATCTTCCTGAGTTGATCACCATTTCCAATGGATATCACTTAGGTCTAAACTTGGAAAAAATGGCAATTTATGATTGCCCAAAGCTCCAAAGCCTTTCTAAGAAGGAACTGTCAAGCCAAAATCTGAAGCTCATTAAAGGAGAAACCAAGTGGTGTGACACACTGCAATGGAGCAAAGAAGAATGGGGAATATCATGCCGGCCATCCAAGTTTGATTGCATCTTTTCATTAATTGATAATCAGATTGACATAATGACTCAATTCGGTATAGATGATGATATTGATGATGGTGCAGGTAATTCTATGCTTTTATAATTTTAATTTTCTCGATGTGAATGTTATGATCTCTTTTACTTCCTTTAATAAGCTGACATTATACCTATAGCATTCCTATTTCCCTTAATTCCCTTGCCTTGTTCAATATATCACAACAGATAAGAGGCCATTACTCCCTTTATTTGAGCATCCGAAGCAAAATGCTGACAGAATCAGCGGGTATATATATGCAAAACTGAATTTTGTGTAACTCTATTCAGAAGCTTGAACCAAAAATGTGTATTTTTCCAATATGAATTCTTGCATGACAGAATTACTTTTTCAATGTCTAAAAGAATATCTGAAGGTGAAGAAACTTTAGATGATGGGTACAAATGGAGAACATGTGGCCGAAAAGAAATTCTTGGGTCCAAAAATGAAAGGTAGCACCACTTTAATTACCAGGAAAAAAATCACTTCAATAATCATGCATCACTCGGCTAACCCTTTGGGGTGTCAATGCACAGCGATTTCAACTGTGACAAAGGAGGTTGCTCTGCTGAAAAGCGACTCCAGAAATCTGAAGAAGACCCAACCCTTGTTGAAATCACTTACAAGGGATGTCACACTTGCACACAGGCTTCTAGTGTAACAAATTCGTCGATGAAAAATCAGGTTGACATTATGACTCAATATGGGATTGATGATGATGATATTGACAATGGTCCAGGTAATTCTATAGACTATATATATATATATATATATTTAATTTTAATTTTCTCAGTGTGAATGTCATAACCTCTTTTGTTAGATATTTTATTATATTTATATTTATAGAAATTTATTTAAATCTAATATCCTAGTTTAAAATATCATTAAGGATAATAAAATATCCTGAGTGCGGCTTGAATCAGCTGATTGAATTAATTTAGGGATTTAATCTCAATTATGATAAATAACAGGTGGGTTATAAATAGAAACTTATGGACTAGGTTAGCTTACGATTAATTCAGGAAACAGTTGTTACACTCAAGGAGGGTTCCCCTGCATGCTAGTCAAAATAATCCCTCTCGTATCTATTTTCTTCTGACTCTATTTTGTATTTTTTTTTAGTTATCATGAGACTAGGGGATTCTACTTCAAATCATGTAACAATGGCGAGAGGTAACCTTAAATCTTCCGCTGTAACTCTCTAGTTGTGAGAATTCCAATATATGTTTAACGCAGTTTCTCCACATCTTTTATTTCCTTTAATAAGATGGCATCATACCTATAACATCCCTGTTTTCCTTTGATTCTCTTACCTTGTTAAAATATATTACAACAGATAAGACACCATTACAACCTTTATTTGAGCACCCAAAGCAAAATACCGACAGACTCAGCAGGTATATGTGTGCATAATTGAATTTTCTGTTCCTCTATTCAGAAGCTTATTCAAAAAAATATGTATTTCTCTGACATGAATTATTGTATGACAGAATGACTTTTCAAGTGTCAAAAAGAATATCTGAAGGTGAAAATACTTTGGATGAATGGTACAATTCAGGAGGTGATGGACGAAAGATGAGAGACCTATGCAGTCAGAGAGGGTCATCATCATCAATGGAACCTTCATGTCAGGTGGACAGTTGTGAGACTGATCTCAGTGAGGCTAAGGGCTACCATCGCCGCCACAAGGTCTGTGAGTTCCATACCAAGGCTAGTTCTGTGCTAATTTCAGGCTTGCAACACAGGTTTTGCCAACAATGTAGCAGGTCGTTCACAAAACCCTAATTCTCTCTAGAGTTTCTTTGTGAATCTGAATTACTAGTTAGTATTTACATTTCTTTATTCTTTTTGTTATGAATGAGTACTTTTAAGTGTTAAGGCTACTGGGAATAGGAATCGAAGCTTTAACCAGTTATATATTTTTCAATTTAGCCATATTGAAGGCTAATCTTTTCAGTCAATTATGAGTTGGGAGTTCTGGTCGCAATTTTATTTCTTTGCTATCTTTAAGCAGCAGCTTAGTGGGAAAGATGAATAAGCTTTTTATTTATGAATTAATCGAATAGCGTTAATCATAAGCTGAGAATTCCCTTGCAAGGTTCAGAAACAGACAAGATGGTAAAATCTTTGGTACGAAGGATACCCTCCCACCCCCCCCCCCCCAAAAAAAAGGGAAAAAAAACCACTTTTTGAACCAACATTGGGTAGGATATTAATGCCGTCAAATTTAGTCTCGTTAAAAAAAAAAAAAAAAACCCACTTTTTGAACCAACATAGGGTAGGATATTAATGCTGTCAAATTTAGTCTCGTTATTGCTCTAAAGTTGACGAGGAGACTGGTTAATTGTGATATCACAAAAGTGTCATTTGTTATTCCTAATTAGGGTGCATGTACGTATCACATAGAGACACTCTATCTTTTCCTGTCATTTTTAATCCATCAATTTGAGCTGCACAGGTAAACCCTCTTTGTTCCTTAACTCTCTTACTACATGTCTAGAGAAGACGATTTTGAAGGAATGGGAAAGTGAAAGACCAATATCCTCACGGCCTTGAGATGAACGCTAGATGTGATGTTATTCAAATTCATTCATATTCATATGTGTACATAATTTGCCATCACTGGCTGCCTATTACTCTCCAAAATGTTTTTCAGGTTTCACGAGCTGGCAGAATTTGATGACGCTAGGAGGAGCTGTAGAAGGCGTTTGGCTGCACACAACACCAGGTGCCAAAAAAATGCATCTTAATTATATATCATGAAGAAGTATATCATCAATGAGAGATTGGATATAAATGAATGGCTTGCAGACTTATAACAAAATAGTTGTTTTTTCTAAATCCAATTCTTAAATAGCAGAAGATTGATACCAAGCCAATGGACAAAGAAGCCTGAGTCTTTTGATGAATATTGTTGGGACATTCCTGGAGCCAAATTTCCAAGGTATCACCACTTTAATTCTCCACGAATCACAATTTACTTCCCAATTATATATGTGCATGTTTTGTTGTATGCTACATGTTGTTTATAAGCAGAGAATATTTCCGATGCATTCACAGAAATTGTCATGGCTGTCTAGCTATTTTCTTTGGTAAATTTTATACATATATATAATATATATGCTTCTTTTGGCTTATTCTGTATGTGATTTATATGCAGAGAATATTTAAGATGTACTCCCAGAAAATATCAGGATTATCTACCTACCATACAACTGCAGAGAGATGGTGAGGAGCCTTCCCTTAACAGTATCGCCCATCGTGGTCACCACACTTGCACACAAGGCTCCTGTTTAACAGATTCATCCAAGAATAATCAGGTTGAGTTAATGACTCAATTTGGGGTAGATGATGATGATACTTGCTATCATCCAGGTAATCCTATATCTATTTTTGATTTTAATATAGATTGTTATTTCAGTGTGAATGTCATAACCTCTTTTTCTTCCTTTTAGAAGCTAAAATTATAGCAATAGCACAACGATTTCCCTTGATTCTTTCACATGGTTAAAATCTACAGCGTTGCAGCCTTCTAGTATGAGGATCGTCGAGGAGTAAAAGCACATTGCTATCAGAAACAGCAGGTATGTAAGCATAACTATATTCCACCTACCTCTGTCTATATATAAGTTTATCCCAAAAAAAAATTTGCGTCTACTGTTCCGAAGAAAATGTGTTTACTTGTAAGCTGAATCGTATTTAAACTATCTCGGGAATCACTTACAGGAGAAGTGACCCTTGCACAAGAGCCTCCAGTGTACCAGATTCTACTCTCACTCTCGTTGGAAAGGAGAGGACCAAGTCAGCCTCCAAGGCAGATCTTGAGTCATTGTCTTCTTTGGACGACTCTGCTTTGTCGAAATGTGACAAGCACAGGTCAATATATTTCATCGCTCCAGAACTGGCATGAGTTTCTATAACTAGTTTTCTAGCATAAAAATAAAGCCAATATACGAGTTTCATAAGTATTATCAGCGAATGTTACAAGAAATTCATCCAATAAAGCAGAATTGTTGGGGTTATGTAGGGAAATGAATCGCATTGAAATATGTAAGAAGATTTTACAATTTCAGTGCAAGCATTCTTGTGATTATATTTCCAGTGGGTGGAGGACAAGATTCTGAATATGGAGCTTCTGAGTTGTCCATCTTAGTAGAAATCATGCTTGTAAATCAATTTCAAATGGAAAAATAAAAGGGAGCCAGCAAAGAAAATCTGGGAATTCAAATGCTTTAATTAAAATCTCGTAAGGAAAATGAAGACTAAGGAGTGATCATACCTGGTTTGAATCAGAGATGAATAGATGAAGTCCACCGTTTTGAGATAGATAGAGCACTTCTGAGAGATCACAAACAAACTCCTGTAGATCAAGAAAAAAGGAGAAGCATCAACTTGGGTCAACGCCCGAATCAAGGAAGTCAGCCTCAGCACTCTATAATCTTGCGGGCACGAAACGCTGCCGTATCGGGTAAGGGAAAACACAATGAAAGTCGAAAACATTAGGGCTAAACGCTAAGGGTTTGTTTAAATTTTAATTGAGTATAATTAATTATAAAAAATTAATTAATATAATTATTTTAAATATAATTAATTATGTTATGAGGTATATAATTGATTTATAAAATTAATTTTAATCACAATTGAAAAGTAAAATTAAAAATAAGTAAAATTATGGTTTTGTAAAAATATATCTAAACATTCTTAGTACATGTTAAAATTAATTATGAATCAAAAATCATGTTTTTTAAAAAAATATCCAAACAATTATTATACATATCAAAATAAATTATGAACCCAAAACTCTAGTTTTTTTAAAAATATCCAAACACTTCTATACATGTCAAATCAATTATAAACCTGAAATTACAGTTATCTTATAAGCTATTATTAACTACTTTTTCATTTATATTTTCAATTATACTTTTCTAAAAATTTATCCAAAAATCATATCAATTATTTTACAAATAATATTTTTTGGTTCAAAATTAATATTCACATATATAGAGGTGTTTCGATATTTTTAAAAAAAAATTATGATTTTAAGTTCATAATTAATTTTAGTATGTATGATGGGTATTTGGATTATTTAAAAAAATATGATTTTAGATTTATAATTAATTATGACATATAATATGAGTGTTTGAATATATTTTTATAAAATCATGATTTTAATTTCAAAAATTAATTCTAAATATTATCCAAACAAGCACTTGCAGTTTGGATTTGGGTTTCGGACAACTTTGGATTTGGATTTCGGACTCCGAAAGCCTTTTACCTTCTCCGTGGAGGAAGAAATGGTGGTGAAATTTTAATAAGTTCTATTTTTAAAAAAAATAAAGAAGTATGGTTTATAGCCATTTCTTCATTTGTTTAATTAATTATGTCATAATTAAAGGCATTTCAATTATTCAAAGGTTTGAAATTGAGGTTAATATATTTATGAAGCCTACAATTGTCATTATTTCTTACAACGAAGCTTCACTCGAATTTAGAATTAAACTTAGATTGATTTCTTTTTTTTTTTTTTTGCCAGAAAGAATTAGTTTCACCAGAGTAGATTCGGTTAGATGGATGGGGACTCAAGTGCTTGAAGTTGACTGAAGAGGGCAGATGTATGAATGACTCCGTGCCCATCCTGTTATCTACATTTCTCTTGTTTTTCCTCACTTTCTCTTATTTTTCCTCGTCCATATTTCATTTATGAGTTATGACTTCTCGCTTTGCATTTCTCAAACAATAAAAATAAAAAAAAATTAAATATATAATTCACAAAATTAGATGTCATTTATATCTTTGACTTGTCCCCCACCTCTTTTTTGGCTTGTTGACTTAATTAGATGTCATTCAGTGTAGATGGGAAAACAAAATCAACGGTTAATGAGTAAATTAATTCTGAAGTTATGTTTAAAAAATATTATAGACTCTAAACTCTTAAAATATGTAAAATAAATTATAAATTTTTAAATTCATGATAAATTAAATTTTACTATTAACTCATTATTAACGTTGTTATTATTCATTCAATGAGGCCCAATCAAAATCTAATATGATAGTCCCTTATTGATGTTCATTTTTAATTAATGCCAAAAACTTTAAACTATTGCACAAATAGCATCTTGGTCTCTGAACGTTGAAATTCAAAGCACATTATCCTCATAATTTATGTGTAGAATGTTGACTATTATGTATATCAAATTAACCTCAACATCATCAACCTTGATGAATGTATCATTCGCCGCAGCAAATGACCCATAATTTTATAAAATGATATTTTTTGCAATGTTTTTCAAACAATTGATATCTCATACTTTCATATATTCTATAACTCTAATTTAGTCTTATTTTAAATAATATTTATTTATTTAATGGTAAAAAATTAAGATCCCATTTGAAAAAAAAGTTTAAGATTTTAATTAACTAGTTAATTTGAGTTTGAAATCCGTTGATAAAATTATCAGCTTTCACATCTATTATCTGTAAAATCCTCTAATACTTAAATTTTTTTTTCAAATGGGATCCCAAGTTTTCACCATTAAATAAATAAATATTATTTAAAATGAGACTAAATCAAAATTATAGAGTATATAAAAACATGAGACACTAATCATTTGGAAAACATTACAAAAAAAGGGGTAAAAAAATGTCATTTCACAAAATTATAGGTCGTTTGCCGCAGTCATTTAATGCAGCAAACCACATTGAGGCTAATTTAATTTACATAATAGTCAACACTCTATGCATAAACAGTGGGAGTAATTTTCTTTGAATTTCAAAGTTTAGGGTCTGATGCTACTCGGATAATAGTTTAAGATCTGTAGTGCTAATTAAAAATAACACATCAATAAGGGATTGTCATATTAGCATTTTGACTAGGCCCCTCTAAGCAAACAACAACGATGTTCATGGTGAGATAATAGTGTGATTTTATTTGTTATGAATTTAAAAGTTTAAAGTCCTTTTTACACATTTTAAGAGTTAAAAGTCTAGGGTTCTTTTCATGCAATATTTTGAGGTCCATTTTACTCATTAATGTTGAAATATTTATAAATATTTATGGATTTACATTAATTAATTAGCCCCACTAAATTGGTCTTTATGATCTTACATGAATCATGATAGGTAGACCATACAAGTGAGCCCAATGGACAAAGACCTAACTTACAACCCTCTAGCCATCAGTTATTTACTATCTCTTAACCAACTGGGTCAAAGATAATGAGAGATAATTAATTCATTAATTTATTAAAGCAGTTTGCTGATCTAATCTATATAAGTCAATCGGTCAATAACTAAAATATGATACTTTTTTTCACTCTATCCATTATCTCTGAATTCTCTGTAAATTATAGGAGTCTAGTAGGTTGTATGTCTATATATACTCAAGGTAATTAAGGTATCACAATCAGCCATGAATTCTTTAGGCACGCACGTCACTTTGCTTGAATTTTATTTGATTTATATGAATTGAGATACTAAAATTAACATGTGGCATCAGAGTTAGGTTTAAATTATTCGATTTCCAGTGTCTCAATTATTTTATGGATTATAATTTGTTGATTTCTCATCTTCTATTGAATCTTTTATTTAGTGAATATAGAATATTATATGCTGGCATTTGGTTTTATTATTAATGGATTTACAAGGATGAAATCAAGGAATGTTTTGATTTTCATGTTTTGAAGCCAAGTCCTTTGTGAATCACAACTAACTAAATGAATATTATAAACATTAGACATTGACTTTAAGGCAATGAATACTATAATCATATGACAGTGATGTGATTTGAGTGTTTTGTTGCCTATGTCATTACCATATGAGCTGGAAAATGCAAGTGAGTTATCGAAATTGCTGTTGAGATTCGCTGGTTCACGACGTCACTGTGGGTATTAGCCTCTCAAAATCCTTGTTCACAACGATGGACTCCACCATCAAGTTGACAGACAATGGTTGCAGCATTTGTCTGACTATTGGTGTTAGGTTACTGAGGCTGCCACTGCCAAATCACAGGAAACATGACTTCAGACACATTGAAGATGGCTACCATCATTGTCGAAGGTGGTTGCTATGGCCGCTTATTTGCCACTTCTGAGTTGTCAAAAAGTGGCTTCCGCACACCAGAGTTTAGCCGCTAAAAGTGTCAAGTTCACGGTTTCCGTCTTCCAACAAACTGAGTCACACAAGCCATCTAGATCGGGTTTTAGGGAGCCAGATGGTGAAGGAGGTGAAGCCTTGGGTTTTGGGCTTTAAGCCTTTTGGGCTTTAAGCCTTTTGGGCCTAGAATGTTTTATTGACGAACATTAAAAAAAACTTAGTTTTTGTAAATTGTAGAGAACTCCCCAATTCTTTATTCACTGGCAACGCCTAGAATTTCAAGAAATTGTTTACCTAAGGAAAGTTTAGGAAATTACAATTTCATCCCTAAAACTTCAAAAAAAAAGGATTTTCACCCCGAATCTCTTCTAGAATTACTATTTTGCCCTCAAAGACTTCTAGAAATTTTATTAATGTCCCAACTTTATCCCTAATTCCTAATAGACCCAAAGGATTCATGAAATTATTTTAGTTTGTCCAAACGGTCATAAAGCCTTATAATTTATCATGATTTGGATCTTACTACATTGACAATGAATAAACTTCATAGGTGTGACATTGTTAATATAATATTGGGGTTTGGACTTTTGAGGATAGATTTACAACACTTATAATATATTAGATATTTGTTATACCCCATAGGTATGAAAATATTTAAAATATTTTTTTAGGTATGAACTTTTGTGTAAGTCAAATCTATGTGGTATGAGGGCCTTCTTGATGTATGATAATAGTTGCATAACTGAAATTCGCTTGTTAAAAATTCTGTACTATAATTATGTTATGCATGCTTAATTTATTTTTTATATTCTGTTTTATGATTTCAATTTTTGTATTTTGAGCAACTATCTTTTTATTGAGGCCCTTTATGGGACTTCTTAGTGTATGTCAATAGTTACATAATTAAAATTCGCTTATTAGGAACTCTATACTGTAATTATGTTATGCATACATAATTATTATTTCTCATATTCTATTTTGTGATTTTAATTTCTATTTTGAGTAACTATTTTTTTGTACAGGCTCTTTATGGGACTCATTATGATCATTTATGAGAGTTCTTAAGTATGTACGTTATTACTTTGAAAATTAGTTGGCTCTAAGAGAACTCAAACCAAAGGATCTCTCTTGACAGTCAATGTTTTTGATGAGGCCTATCATAAATAGTTGTATAAGTCTAATCAAATCTGTTTGACAATGGCTAAATTCACCATTAAGGAAAAGAATTAGGACCACATTTTTGGTGAGATATATTATGTGATGCTTGATAGCTTAGCACTCAATTATAATGAGACATTTAGTGTTAATGGGTTATATCTTGAATTTGCATGGGGTTGACTTAGGAGTATTCCTGGTCGATAAAATTCTTAACATCTTCTTACTTCACGTAAGAAAAGGGAGAGATTGAAGGATCATATAATATTAATAATAGCCTATAATAACTTCTAATGTGAGGGGTGAAGTGTTTCAAGTTTGAAACAACTTTGAAAGCTAAGGCTCATTTAAGTGGAGTTGCTAAACTATCGTCCTTTTATGAACTTATACAATTCTAAACTTATAATGAGCTCTTGATACTTCGAGCATGTAAAATCCATTATATTGTAAGCATTGTATATAATGTTCTATCATTAGTAATTTAGCTTCACTAGAGGGATGGATAAATTACAAATATTTAGAATTTTCATTTCCATCCACATGCTCAAGGCATTTACAGATAAATTAATGGTATAACTTTTTATGATATTGCAAGAGTTATTTACACTTGGTGATTGTGTGCTCACCTATAGTAGGTCAAATTATGATAGTTTATTATTTGAAATTATATTTCAAGATATTATGTTGATAATGAATTTTACCTTATAAGTATGTCCTTGTCAATATAATTTGTGTTTAAAATTTTGAAATTATCTCTAAATATCATATTAATAAAGGACGTTGTCAATACAACAAAGATTAATATTGTTGATAATTGGGCATTTATTTTGGCAAGTTTGTAAATAAAAGTTTTAATGTTTTGATATTTCTTATATCCTATAGGTATGGTGACATTAAATACATTTTGTTATAATCATTTTGACAAAGTTTTTAATTCATATTTAAATTGGATGCTAATAATTTAGTGTCCAAAATAATATAAGATATATTATTTTTATTAAGTTGGAAATCATAAGTGAGATCTTCAGTTGAAAAAGTTTAATCTCAAAATCTATTAAGGGATTCTTTGTTTATCGTTACATAGGATCAAGAAGGTGCTGATTTTGTTACTCACTATTATAACATCTTGATTTTTAGATAATAAAGAAATTATGAAATTTAGGTTTTATTGAGGATAAAAAATAATAATAATAAGAATTTATATTATTTGATGTTAATTGAAAATAATAATATAATTAGGCATTTAATAGTGAATTAAAAATTTATGTTTAAAATAACATAAAAAATATTTAGTTAAGATATAATTTTAAGATTTAGAGAGAGAGTGTGTGTGTGAGAGAGAGAGAGACAAAAACAAGGAGGTAGAAGAAACAAAAAGAAAGAGAGAGAGAGAGAAAGAGCTTGTTTTTAGATCTCACGTTAGTTAGATGTGGGAAGAAAAAGTGCCCCCTCATGTATAAAGAGAAGCACATGCATCACTTGAGGCAAAAAGGGGCATTGAATAATTTGTGAAATTTGTAACTAATGATCCAAAGATTTAAATAATTAAATTCAAATCTATAGTTTTTTTAATAATATAATTGTGAGACCCACAATTTTATTTTTATATTATTTTTTTCCTATCTCTCTCTCCCTATCACGTTGCTCTACCTTCTATGCAAAGGAATTTATTTTCTTTTCTTCAAGTGTGCTCCAACTTTCTTGTTTAGATTAACATTTAAAAAATTATTTAGTTACAAAATTAATTTTGTACTTATTTCTTAAATAATATTAGCTTTCTAATGATATGATTATTTTGTAGAGTAGAGCAAATATTTTGATTAAAATTTTTCTATAGGATAGTTAATCTGATGATATGATGGATTAAAAATACAGGTTAAAATTTTAGGGATATAATAAATATTATAGAATATTTTCTTGAGGTTAAAACTCATGTTTAAGAACTTTTGAGTTAGACTCTAGATTTATATGGTTGAATTTATGTTAAATTTGAGATGTAGAGCTGAACCTCTAATTATTAAATATTTATTTAAGTATGAATATGTATTTCTAAGGCTATAGAATTGTGACTTGAGGCTTCAGGGTAATTCTAAAATTTTAATTTATTTTTGGATGAATTTTTTAAAATATAAAAAGATGAAATCGTGGTACTGAAAGTGATTTAAGGCTTAAATATAGTTTATTAGGGTATGATAATTTTATAAAAAGAATTTAGAAAGTTAAATGAGGCATAAATTTTAAATTAGTATTAATATGGATCTTAGGTTTAAGACTTTCTAACTCTTTAAATTAAAGTTATTTATTAATTTTAATATAAAATTAATATATAGTATTATGAAATAATTATGTAGATTGTATTAATAAAGAAAGTAGTGAAAGAAGAGTTGTGAAGGGAAACTTGTTGTTTAAGACACAAGGTAACTATTATTAATATGTTGTGATGGGTGTGTATATGATTGGTTATGTGTTGTTTTGTTGTTTGAAAAAATTATGAATTATGAATTATTAAAAATAAATACTGTTACATGCTTATTTGAAATTATTGTCAAGTGGGTTAAAAATTTATTTTTGTTTATCATGATGAGATATTATTATTCGGTTATATTCTTATTTGGATATTTAAATGATGTATGACTTGTCAGGGTATTTTAATATATGATATTATTAGAAATTTCTATCTGGTTAATTATTACTATATGGTAAGCCCTTATTGGACCCAATGAGTGTTGTGTAGCTTGGTTCAACTCACCTTTGGCTGGGTGTTTTGGCGTCTAGGCATGACGAAAGGAGGATATAAGGTGTAGTCATGTAATTAAATACTTGTTTGGTTTGTTTAAAAATATTGTTCGGTTAAATATTTTTGTATACTTAATAATCGCATGATTAGTTACATCCATATGTATTATTACATATTAGTTTTTAGTTGCTGAAACTTTTAAGTCTCATTTCTTGTGGTTAATATTTTTACAGGAGCAAGTTCGGCCGAGAAAGCACTAGAGGCGTAACTTTGATGTATGAGACACCATTTTTTAACATTGCCTCTTATTTTGGATCATGCAATGTATCTAGTGCAAACTTAAGACATATCTTATTTTGTGGAGTATATAAACTCTAATATTTTTTGTTAACTACATTTATATGACCAAGAGGATCATATTTATCCCTCTTGATTTTTGAACTGATTTGCATATCATGTCATGGGGATCCTGTCTGTCCCTCACGATTCTAATTACTTTTTGGTTCACATAATAATATTAAAAAAATTATATTTAGGAATTGTTTGGGATTTTGCCACCTTAAGATAGGATTGTATACCAAATGTTGATTTAAAAATTATTATTTTCTTTAATATGAATTGTTTTACATTGTTTTCCATTAGGTAAAATTTTATTTTCAATTATCATGATAAAGCTTATTTATTATGTTAAATTCTTTCTACTATGGTAGGCTATTGGTAAAATATTTTATTTTATATGATAAACTCTTTTCTACCATAATAGAGTTTTGAAAAGAAGTTTAGTTATTTATTATCATGGTAGAAATTTTTCTACCATGATAAGGGTTCGATGATGTAAAAATAATTTATTGAACTAATAATTTATGAAAAATCGGTTTGAAAATTTTAGGGTGTTACAACTATCAAGTTAATCAAATTTAAATTTTACTTTCAAATAAATAGTAAGAGTTATAGACCTAAACTACTAGCCTACTTGTTAAAAGCATTACCTTTACCTAAGCATGTTTATTGATCAACTTGATTTGATAAGGATGAGACTGTCAGAAATCCATTTGTTAAAATAAAACAATCT